ATAATTACTTGTTTTATTTTATACATTTTAAAAATATTAATTTAGGGGTCAATGACAGTTTTATGAGTTCATCAAGGGGTCGACAACTCGGAAAGGTTTGGGAAACCCTGGTGTGCAAACCTTCACTTTATTGAAACATGTAATTGGAAATCGATATTGTTTATTTAAGTATCGTTTCGAATATTCCAGAAGCAGAAGCTTCTTGAGATTATCACATTATCTTTTGACTGGGTCATTCAGGTTATTTGAAATGTTTTATTGGATGTTGCAGTGAAAGCTGCTTATTACATACCGTGTATTTCTCTACCTTTTGACCAGTAATTCGGCAAGCAAAAACTAATAATAATTATAATAATGGACATCTTCTCTAACTTAATTCGGCAAACTTGGAAAACATTGAATCACAAATATATATTTATATAACAACGAAAGCAACCCTAAGTAATGGTATCTTTAGCTTATGTTTGTAACGTTTCGAACAGTATAAGATTATGAAAACTGTGTTCATTTCTATCACATACCCATAGGACAATCGATAAAATGGAAAATGGACTCGGTAAAGAACCATGAATTTAGTTTGGTTTCATACTGTTCTAACGAATTCTTTCGTTGGGCGGGTTTTTTAAATTATTTGGTGAAAATAATGCGAAGTCCACGTAACGATAATTAATTAGTTCATTTCTTCTTTAACGTTTGCTTCATATCACTATCACTTTTGTACAGTTGTAGGCCCTATTTAACAAATAATGTTTTCAGTTTCAACATAAATTTACTCGCTAATGGCACTACGAGTAACGTACAAATCCATATATACTTGTACAACTTGACGGCTAGTCGATTGACTAACTGAATATACGCGATAACTAACACTGATCTGAATACGTAACTAACTTCTCAATCACTGAACGAACTCAAATTGACTCAATGCTTCACTGACTCTCGTATTTATAATGAATCCTTGTTTCTAGATATTTTGTGAAGTCTCTCGATTATTAACACTCACGAACATTCTAGGACTACTTTTGTAAACTTTTTAAATCTAAGCTATGAACATTTTAGCAGCTCCAATTAGCAAAGAACTAAATTATAACATAAAAAAACATAGCTTAGAACAGCACATGTAACATATGAAAGCCAGGTACACTAGCACGAAAAGACTGCCTTCATTAAATGTATTGTTTTTCTAAGCCAAAGGTGGAAAATTCCCAAAGTGCATTCTTCCCCCATAAAATAATATTGCCCCTATGAGTTATCCGTTCTCGGGTACCGGAAACAAGTTTCTCGTAGTTCGTTCTTCCGTCATTCAATCGTTTTATCTTGGTCAGAAATTGATCAAAACAAATACTAGGTATTCGAGGACTCTGTTAAGCATAGTTCATGTTTTGTGTGTGTGTGTGTGAAAATCTAGGTGATTGGATCAGAGTTAACAACGAGAGCGATGTCTGTGAAAAACGTAAATTGTTAGTTTTTTATTGAACCTATAAATACGCAGCAAATATAACTAGCTTTCGATATGATAATAATAATAATAATGCTTGACGTTTTTGGTCAGTGTTTGTAAATATAATTTCCAGAAAAAAGTGATAGCACGAAGCAGTCAGATTTAAACGGGGTTTGAAAGAAGCAAAATTCTGTTAACCACCTTATGTTAACCTGTAGCTCAACAATACCTTTATCTTGCCATGGAAAGCGCCAAACTCATTCTTCCAGATACCCGCATACTTATAAGCAAGCAGTGAAAACGTTTCCGCGCAAGACAGATTGAAAGACTTCTACTGGTGTTCAGTGGTCGAATGAAAAGTATTGATGGAATTCAGGCTGCTTTGGCTCGACACACTAGTTCATTTCACACTCAGCCATTTACTTCAACAAAAATCTGTTCTGGTTGTCAACTTATCGTCATAACGGATAAAGTTGACAACCAGGATCGATAAAGGTATAGCGATATTTAATTCATTATTGTTTTACAGTTTTGATTTAATCGCCTATAAATAATCAATGTTAGCAATAGTTTATAAGCCGTTTATATATATATATATATATATATATAATAATAG